GTTCGTTTGGTGAACGGCTCCAAATTTTCTTCAACGGAGAGTCTCCAGACTGATTAGCGAGTGAAACCTTGAAAGCTCGCGAGATCAGGATGGTCTCACCAGGCTAGCACTGCACTGCAAAAAATGTAAATCTAAATAATTACTTTTTTTTCTTAAATTGAGGACGGAAGTAATTCCCTTTCTCAACAGAACAAGACAATTTACATAAAAAAACAACAACAAAAAAACAATTGCATTGCCTTATTTCAAGTGCATATTATCTAATTGGCTTGTTTTAAGAGTAAAAATACTAATTCCATTGGCAAATCCTCTCATTTATCTACTCAAATTAAGGGTAAATGCACTAAATTTAAGATATTTTTACTTATTTCCAGATGGTTTTTGCAGTGTGAGATGTTAAAGACAAAAATAATACAGAACTACAAATTCACATATGAAAGTGTAGAAACTAAAATAACACACCAGTTTATACTGTTAGAAAACCCCCAAATGTATTCATTCTTGCGTAATGAGGCTCCTATTAGCAGAAAAACAAACCCTTTTCCCCGGTTCTGGTTCTTCTTCCTGTTCCTCCCCCATCACTGCTGTTAAAGCCCCGCCATCACGTTTTTTCTCCTGAGGTAAGATCCTACCTCCCTGCAGAAGAGAAATCCTTGAACCAAATAGTTGCCTGTTCACACTTCATCTAGCGGAGAACATCGGTGTCTGGCTTCTTTCCATCATTGTGCATCATCACATGTACTCCAGCGCTGCACTCTCACATACGGTCTTTAATCAGCCGCCAGAAAAGCTGGGGCTCTGAGAGGAGGCCCACTGCTTCGTCTAATGGGAAGCATGTGAAGCCAATCACAGGATCGAGGGTCTCTAAGGGTCTCTGCATCATTTAACCATCAGCTATGTTTACAAGAATTCGCCCCCCCCTCCCCATATTTATAGTCACAGTTTGCATGTTTCTTCGTTCTCAGCTCCGTAGATGGACTGTTTGATGTTAGAGTACAAGGGGCCTCTCTGTTTAGAGTCCCGGTCCAACAATCTGAAGGATTTCCATGAAAAAAAAAGTATTTCAGATAGTTCTGAAGCCAAAGTAATGCTCTCCAGACTCAGAATGAGTTTGATTTAAGCCACACGGCCCGAGGTGAGCATCTCTCCCGGTTCTGCTCCGCTCTAACTCAGAAATAACACAGCATCCAGGCGTGGCATCCAGACAAACAATCCAATGATCCTCTCTGCTGTAATAACCTTAGCTTGGTCTGGCTCTGAGATAAAGATGCTGAGATGAGAGGAAGCAAAGACGCATCATAGCAACAAGCACTCACTCACTGAAACATCCCACCCCGCTCTCTCTTGTCGTGCCTGTGCAATAGAAGTAGTTCTAGTCTGCACATGGTGCACAAATTGCCTGCACGCTCTCACTCGCATAAAAAAAAACAAACAAAAGGGATAATTTATCCAACTCACGGGAATCTGTGAGACTCAAAATCTCCCCCGCCAGGTATTGACATACCTCTGCATGTCAATTTTG